CTGATAGATTTGTAAATTCTGTCATGTCTCCATGCAGAATTAATGGGCTCTTTTCCCTCCTGTGGAAAAAATAAAAAATAAAAAGAGAGAGAGACATGTTGCCTAGGCTGGTCTCTTGTCTCAACCTCCCAAAGTGCTAGGATTACAGGTGGGAGCCACTGCACTTGGCCAAAAAGATATTTTGTCTTCGTTTGCAATTCATCTCAACATTTTTTTTTGTCAAATGAAGAATGATGAGGTCCATAAATTTGGAAGAAGAGAGGTTTATTTCTTATAAAGCGTTGGAGCCTGCAAGGTGGCCATTCTGACAGGCTGGGAAGTGTAGTCTCTGGCCAGAAGCTGGAAACAGACCCTAGTGTGGGCAGAATAATACAGGGATCTCTGCTGAACAGTGTGGCCAAATACACAGATTCAATAAGCTATAGGAAGGGTCATGAATTTTAAAAATAATTAATTAGTTACTCTTTTTGAGACAGGGTTTCATTCTGTCCCCCAGGCTGGAGTGCAGTGGCATGATCACTGGCTCACTGCAGTCTTGACCTCTTGGGCCCAAGTGATCCTCCTAGTTCAGCCTCCTAAAAGGCTGGGACCACAGGTATGTGCCACCAAGCCTGTGTAATTTTCTAAATTTTTTTTTGTAGAGATGGGATCTCCCTGTGTTGCCCAGGGTAGTCTCGAACTCCTGGGCTCAAGTGATCCTCCTGTTTTGGCTTCCCAAAGCACTGAGAGTATAGGATGTGCCCAGCCATGAATATTTTTGAAGGAGAACCATGCACGTGCACAACTGAAATTTTTGCTCTTCATGGGACCCATGTTCAAAAAATGACCTTGTTAGCATGATCCAAGGGTGGTGTTTTTGGCCCTCTGATGTTAAAAGCTGAAACAGAAGACACAAAAATCGTCACTGTGCACCCTCTATAGACGGGCCAGAACCACGCGGTGGTTGTTGGTCTGTTGTCAGGGAAAAAGGAGGGCAGCGTCATGCGGCTGGTCAATATCAGTGTGGAGTCTTTTGAAGAGGCCAGTTTCTGTTTAGCCTTTAGGAAAGAAAACCTCATGGTGGTTAGTGGGGGGGGGGGGCAGATAACGAGGGGCATGTGATCCCCCATCCTTTAACTACATAAACTGAGTTATATGGCCAATGACTGCTTTTAAGGTTATTCTGGGGTCTCCTTGGTGAAGAGATGACTCAGTCAGTTGGTTGGGGGACTTAGAGTTTTGAGCTGACACTTTCCGGCACATACATTTGTGCTCTTTCGATTTTCCATCAAGCCTTTTAGAAC